TCAGGAGTTTCGCCCTGCCTCAGGAGCTGCTGATACAGTTCTACAGAGGAATCACTGAGTCTGTTCTCTGCACCTCCAACATTGTCTGGTTTGGCTCAGCAACCAAACAGGACAAGTACAGACTTCAGCGGACAGTCAGGACTGCAGAAAAGGTCAGTGGTGCAAGCCTGCCCTCCATGGTGGGCCTGTACACCTCACAGGTCAAAAGGAGGGCGGAGAGAATCACTGCTGATCCCTCACACCCCGGATACAATCTGTTTGAACTCCTCCCCTCTGGACGGCTACTCTGTTTTATCCCTATTTATCTCATTTCAATGAACATTCCTTTGTTGTCTGCATTGTTTACTGTCTGTTTGTACTGCTTTTTCTGTATTGTTTGCACTGTTTGTTGATGTTAATACTGCTATTTTGTTATATTACACAGCCTTATGCTGGTTCACTGTTTTGCACATTGAGAGCCGATGTACCAGAGTCAAATTCCTCGTGTGTCCGTCACACCTGGCCAATAAAGCTGATTCTGATTCTAGATAGCTCAGCTAATGTAACATGTTAGCTAGGTACCTAATTATTAAAGTGACCCAGTGTTGGAGGGAAATGTTGTAAAATGTGTGTGCTGGACAAATGCAGCAATTTAGTATTGGATGGCACAAAAAACATCTAAGGGGAAACAAAGTGCCCATTTTAACATACAAAGGTAATTTAAAAAGGTGCACATAAAGTATAACAACACAGCAAAACCCTGAACCAATGCAGACAACAAAGTGCACTGTTAATACAACATCACTTGAAGACAGAGGCAGCTCCGTAGTAACACTGGGTCAACAGAAAAGAATCAGAGAATCACAAAGAAGTGACTACATACAGTATAATAATCCTATGAGCTACTTTAATGTCACTGTGGATGAAAACAAAAGTTTGTTTAAAAATGATATTTTCAAGCTTGACAACTCAAACACCTTGAAGCCGACTGGCTGATAAAAGCAGTCAAAGAGACGGAGCTGCATCCCAGTGCATCATAACCAAACACATAAGCTCTTTTTCCACCACCTGGTATCGACTCAACTCCACTTGACTTGCCTTATTTGTTTTTTTATCAGTCAAATGTCAAATGTTTCAAGTGAGCAGAAGCGATATGAAATGGTGACGTGTGTATACACATTGCAGACTAGTGAGTGGTGAGAGAAGTCGCGTCATCAACGTGAAAGACACCCTAGAACAAAGAAAAGCACCATTTTTAAAAGCAACATTATTTAACGCTAACCACTACTTTACTGTAGTTATTGTATTAACTGAAGCTAAGCTCCCGGGACCAAAAGCGAGTCGAGTCTGTACCAGGCGATGGAAAAGGGGGTAAACGGTGCATAATACATTGCCTGAAGATGAATATTTGATCTCTTTAAATTCTAGTTGGCCATAGAGATTAGCTGATCTTTATAGTGTTTGAAATTCCATCACTGGGCCTTTGATATCACTAATGATGCTGAAGGTGTCAGCTATTAGCCCGAGGAGATTTACTCTACGAGAATCAAGCAGGGTTTTGAGGCAGTCGAATCATTTAGCATCCTCAAGCGCCTGAGTGTTTAAAAAGGCACAGAGGGTAAGTGGCTCTTCACACAGAATCACTTTGATTCCTTTTGCTCCTGAATGCTTCACAGCTTTACATATTTGCCTCCTCTCTGAGCTAAAGATTGTTAACAGCCATCAGAAATGTCAGCATTGACAGATGTGTATCCACCCACACTATGGTTTGAAGGAGCAAACATAAAAGATGTAAATTGTTCTGGTTGTTGAGGGGGGAGCTGTTGCTGCGTGTCAGCTTCATTTACTCTAAAAGAAACAAAAGAGCTCAGTGGTTTGAGTGTTTTGAAGAGAGTCCTATGTCAACAAAATTTAAAGTTGCTGTGGTGACATATGCCAGGATTCTGAAGAGCCTTTAGACATGTAAACGCTTGAACTAATTGGTTCACAAGCTTCAGCTACAAAGCTAAAATAAAAAACAGGATCTTATCTTATTAAATTATCATCATTTATTTTCATCAAACAGGAATCTGTTGGTAACCAAACAACCAGAATATGGATACAGTCTGTATGCCAGGTCACTCAGACTCAACACCACTGTTATTCACCAAAAACAACATTTACACTTTTAACACCAACTTTAAATCAGTACATTGTCAAAAGAAACACTACAAAGATAAGGCTGGTCTTATTCTGTTTCAAAATAAGGATAATCACCTTTATTTAGCTGCAAAATCTCTGTGGTATCTGACTTCCCTACTGTGTGTCCTCAGCCTACACCCACTGGTTCCTATGTAAATCTTTAAAACTGGCCATAAATGTAGTTTTACTTATGAAAATAGGCTCAGTGATTTGCTAAAACAGCCGGGGAACACAGTTTTTAACAAACCTTACCTAAACATGTTGAACCACGCATTTGTTGGGGATTATTTTCAGCTGTAGAATAATTCACATTTGGTGCTCTATAGTGAAGATTTCCAGGCTGAATGAATGTACACAAACTATACTGTGTGTGTGTGTGTGTGTGTGTGTGTGTTCATACTAATAAAGGAACATGTCAACAATGTCATAATCCCATTAGCAGCAGTGCTAACAAGCTTGCTAGCTAACAGCAAGCAATCAGCAAGATTGTTAGATTGGAAAGCTTTTACTTCTTCATTGACTCTTTATTGAATGATACGATGTACAGCCCTGAGAACATAATGCCAGACGAGAATGAACAGTTCAGTAGGCTGCATATAAAAAATAAAGAAGCTCTTAAAATTACTGTATCTGCAGACAAGTGCTAGGATGTTCCTAGCTGTGTAGTGTTTGAGCCTTGAAACCAAATATTTCATGAAGTCATGTCTTCTTTTTGTTGTTACTTTTTGATATTACCAGTACTTGTTAAAATGACCATTGATCTTCTTTCAGTGGGTGCAGGCCTTCTGACCATTCTCATACTCCTAGACCTCGGTGCTGCTTTTGACACCACATCATATTCACTGTTGTTGGAACACCACATTAGGGTCAGTAACACAAATAGATGAATAATTCACTTTGAAGTTTTAGCAACTTTTGGCATTAAAATCCCATTAGTGTTTTGGGGACTTGCAGAGACGGCGGTGTGTGTGTTTGAGAAACAGCTGCTGTCTATCCACTTTCTGCTTCTCAGCCTCCCTCCAACTGAGGCACTCTGTACACATGAGCTGAATTAACACATAGAGGGATTAGATCCATTTTCAGTATTAATATCAGAATGCGTTTGCATTACATCCATGTCTGCACATGGAGGTAATGGATGTCTGCACGGTCTCTCGGATTATCTGTCACTCTAATCATCTCTGCTTTCTCACAGTCCACCTGTCAGGCTGAAGCAGATTAGCATTTCAAAAACATATTACCTGCCTCTACGTGCAGTGAACGAGGTGACAGACAGACACGGTGTTAGAGTCTGTGCTGCTGTCTCTGTTAAAAGCTTTACTGTTCAGAGACATTCAGAGAGCAGGGAGAGGAAGCTCCCAGCAGGTAGCATACAGCAGGGAGGAGGACACCTTTTATGACTGAGTGAACAACCTGGACAAGTTTTAGCCTGTAAACTATAGGAAACTAAAACGGTTCAATGCTCATAAATGTGTTTTTGTTCTGTGCTTTTGTACTTTAATGTTACAATGGAAAGACTGACCAGGGAAAAGAAAAGTAAAAAAAGGGGCAAAGCCAAAAAATAAGTGAAAAAGCAATAGCTCTTCTACAAGTCTCAACATCTCTCCAACAATAGTGACTTTGAAGATAACACTTTAGCAACATCAAAATTCTATGGTCGCACAATGTCGATATAAAATGTTTAATTCATGTGCTGAATAAAAAAAAAAAAAAAAAAAATAATCAAAAACCATCCTGGAATTTGTTGGATGTATGTTGACTACAGGGACTTAGCAGGATGCACTCGGTGGAAGCTATTGGCTAAGCACATAAGATAAATGCATTCCACATAAGGAAACCACATTCACATAAATGCCCTCTGATGGCCTAATTAAGGGGAAAATATTTCCAGTTCCAATTTAGCAAATATACTGTACATTCTTCCTCCGCACAGAAAAGTGAAAAAGCCATATTCCAAGCACCTTAGATGATGAAATAGTTGTTTGAATAATCTTAACCCATAAAACAAACAAGAATATTTGCAACTTTTCTGTATGACAGTGACATTTAGCTAAATTGTTGTAGACAATACTCCAACATTTACATTTTGTAATATTTACAATTTCTGGAACAAGGAGATCAATGCCATTCAAGTCCAGCACTGTTGCCTGTTTATATCAGTATAAACACTAAATACAGTAGAAAACAAAACTGTGGCCATTGTTCCTTTTTGCTTTCCACATGCTGTAAAGCCACAGCCTCCATCGAAGTGTCTGAGTAGCTCTGAGTGCAGTGTCCTGAGCTGTGGAAGGAAACCCTGTCTGCACCCTCAGCTCCAAAACCCACCAGCTGATCAGGCCTTCAGTTAAATGAAATACTCCTTGGGGTTTTCACTGGAGACGTTCTGGGAGTCGGTTTGGTTGTTAAAAGGGAAATCTGGGCTGTCCCGCTCTTTCACTCCCTTCACATCCCGGTTCACATACGTTTCTTTTCTCCGGTAGAGGAATCTGGCAGTTATTGCCAGGCCAGTAACAATCACAAAGATCACCACCGCTATGACACCTGCAAGGCAGTGGATATGAACTGACATACTCAACATATTTAACTAAATAAGGCATATCCACATTATTGCTGAAAAACAAGAGTCTTGTCAGGGCTGGTTGGCACAGTCACAACTCACATTTTACCTGTGCCTCAAGATCTCAGTGATTTTGTCCATACAAGAGCTGTTTTCCCACAATATGAATACACCTTTACTTGGAGATAGGCAGCAAGATAGATATCGATTATGTCTCTGTGAGTTGAATAGCTTAGCACAAATACTAGAAGCAGCAGGAAAAGGCTAGCCAAGATCCTTATTTCATGTTTCAAGTGGAGACACACTTCAGACTTTGAGCGACACCCAGGTTGACTTTTGGATGTAATCGTAGCTAGTTGGCTAACAAGACAGGAAATGTAAACAGTCGTGGAGATGTTTATTTTTGGCTAAGCTAGCTATTTCCCTCGGCTTGCTGTCTTTGTGCTAAGCTAAACATGCTTTGGATCAATCTCTACTAAACACACATGCAGTATAGCTCCAGATAACTAAATTACACAAGACTATTTAAGAATATTAATTAAGACTGCTACATTATGAGAGCTAAAGCACTAGGCTGATGAAAAAAATGTTTTTCCACTTTCGCATATTAACCATATACATTTAATAGGAAATAAGGTAAACACTAAACATGTTTTAGAAATTTAATGCATTTTTCCTGTGTTTCTGTAGTTGATCACTTTGGTCAGACTGCATCATGGCTTTTATAAACAATTTTATAATTTTCAAATCATTAAAACACTAAAAAGCCCTTCATGACTTTTAACATCAATACATTATAATTGGTAAACATTCATCCAATTGTTATTTGTGCTGCATATTGGCTGAACTGCACAAAGTATAAAGAATGTCTTTTATGATATTGGAATCTATTTTATGATCACGTACTAAATTTCCTCGTCTTTTTTTAAACACTTGAATTAACATGCAGGTTAATAATCGCTGAAGCCTAGAAAGTCTTGTTTCTTGCTGAATGATGTGCTGACTCACTGTGAAGCAAAATCTATCACAGTGGCTTCACAGGAGCTTTTTGAAACTGCTGTGAAGTCACTACATGATTTCTCCACCCCATATACTTCTATTACACTGCAGGCTGGTCGTGTGAAGAAAAAAAAAAAAAAGAAAATTCGCACATTTGGACTCTTGCTCCTGTTTTGCACATTTCATTATCCAGAGAATGTTTCATCTAATTGGAATTTCAAAATATAGCAAAAATCAATTTCACAGTGTTTTATTTTTGGTTTTACACATTAGAAGATAACTGTGTGAAAATTTCTCCAGTGGAAGGTCATTTTAGCTGTGAGTTAATTAGTTCTGCTGTTTTTTTGTGCACAGAGACACGAAGAGATTTAATGGACAGTTTTAAATGACTTGACTATCTGACTTTTTTCTCTCTGCCTTTATTATGGTATATTATTGGAACCATTCAATTTTCAATTTGAAATCAATCTAACCTGAAAGAAAAGCAAAAATTTTAACTTACTTTTGATGGAATTTCTTTCCCATCACATCACCTTTGCTGGTATTTCAGCAGAATATCTCATTAATAAATGCTGAATACAGTCTCTGACTATCCTTGAACATTGTTAAGAGAAGTCCAATAAAAAAAACATAGTGAAACAAGATGACACAGGTTCCAGTGAAATAAAAGATGGTGAAAAACCTCAGTACCTCCAATGAGAGCAGAGTCAGTCTTGATGGCATTGACTAAAGGTTGACCGGAACCCAGTGAGCCAGACTGGTCTACAGCAGAGAAAGTTGCAGGAAGGAGCAATGAAAGGTGTGAAAATAGAAGAGAAACAAAAAATGAAAAGCCCCAAAGAGCAGAGAGAATGAGAAGAAGGGGAAAAACAGCAGAAAATGATAGTGAACAAATAAATGAGAATGGGGGAAAATAAGAGCAAAGATAAAAGAAATGAGTCAGAGCAGTAAAACATACAAGGAGAAATTCAGAGACACAATCAGAGAATCATCAATCACACCAGACAGAATATAACAGCAGCTCCCCAAAGAAAATACTACAGCAACATGAAGCTGCTGAAAGAGAGCACTGAAATCTCCCCTTTGTGGTCCAAGTAATTATCTCATCAAGCATATTGTCATTGAGTCTCCACAACAAAGTTTACATACTTAATGAGCTCATTAAACAGACCGAAATAGCAGCTCCCACCAGAATTAGACTCACACAGAGAAACTTATTTTTATGCATACATCATTTTCACTGGCACATTTAGTCTTGGCTTTTAATTCCCCTAGCCCTTTAGCCAAACTACTATTACACATTTACTTCAACAGTGTCAGAAATGACCAAGCAAAGAGAAGAGCAAAACCATCCTCTGAATTATCTTTTTTCCATGTTTCCCATGTTGTCAAACATCAGGGCATGAAAACAGCTTCAATTTGCTGTGAATATCCCATACACGCACGTTATTCCCACGTGATCAAGATGTGGAAGATAAACAGTGCTTTCTACTGTGCAGCTGCGGGAGCAGCTCAGCACAGCTCTGCCATACACGCCTCGGCTCGGCAGGGCTGACTCGTGCCGATGGAAAAACACCACAAGTCAACGTGCACAGTGCAGATTTTGGGGCAGCTTGATTGTAACCAAAAGTCAACCAGTACTCTGTGATGGAATATTGCACCCTTGGCTGCAAATTTTGTATGTACTAAGTAGTCTGCAACCTCGACTCCAAGGATTTGTTTATATATTAATGTACAACATTCTGAGGGACTAATACAGACCAGACACGATTTCCTATTAATGTAATGAATGCATTCGTTTTCAGCCAATCAAATTTTATAGTACAATTTTAGCTTTTCCACATGTTAATGGTTATGTTAAGGCACTAGCAGGACTTGGTTAAGGTTATAGAACGATCATGGTCTGGTTTAGTACCAAAAATGTCCAGTGACATGCTGATCAACAACAAACATTAACAGACTTCTACAGTGTCTCTCTAAGAGAATGCACTGACACCGGACTCTGTGAATCCCTGATGGTGGTGTCAAAGCCCTGCACTTTGTATTCCCATCATCCCCCACAACCTCCTCCCTCCTCCCTGCAGCTCAAGTGCTGTTCATAAATGTAGCACTTCATTCACTTCACTCAAACACCGACTGAATAAAATCCAGGCAGCACTTAAAATGTCGTACTATTTAGTATATGATTTCTATGAGACAGGTTTGGTTTGTGGTAATTTGATTAGTAGCACTTGTATTTGGTCATATGCCCCATGTGAGCACCATAAAAGCTAAAACAAACTACAAAATAAACTGTAAAACAAATCTCGACATTGAAAAATGGGCAAAAGACATGAGCACAGTATTAGTTAATGATGCAGAAACCCACTTTGGTTAATATTGTACTTCAGTTATGTTGATTTCCTGACGCACCGTCTAGGGTGGCTGCATGCTTTGAAAAATGAGAACACCCTGGCCTCAGACAAACAGAACACATACAGTATCAGTGGATCATCAAATAATAAAGATCAACATTTTAAAAATATATAAAGAGCTGATGGACAGACAGGTTATAAAACCATCTACTGTGGTAGGAAGATGCAACAGCAAATGAAACCTAAAATGACGAAAACCTTAACACAGATCCTGGTAGTAATTTGAATTAATTTCTGCCTGACTCACTGGACAGTTGAAATCACAGCACTCCAGCGGCGCCTCCTCACATTATTTCTGGCTTAATAAAAAGCACCACTGGTCATTTAACCTTTCCCAAAATGAGTGAAATGCTGAAAGTGTTCAGATCTTCACTCGTACCTGACAGGTGATGTGTGTTTTCAGCTGTGTAGGGATTGGCCGAAGCTGAGGAGCCACAGCTGGACTGGACTAAAGGTCCCGCGATGATGATGGGGCTGGTGTCCGGGTGAAGCAGAGCAGCTTTCAAGGGGTTGATGGAGTTAAAGTGGACAGCAGACAGGCAGCCAATAAAACCGAGAGATGCCAACTTGGCCAGATCTGGATCCAAGTCATCAGAATCTGGAGAGAGAAAAGAATGATGGGGAGATTTTGAATAATTCAACAGAATGAAAAAGAAATTTGCAAAGCAGCTTTCGTCTTGTGCACTCCATAAGACAGATGTTCTCTCATCCCGTTTATTTTACTGACTTCAGTCTCTTCATCATTCACCTCCACAGCAGCTGAGGAACGTGCAGACATCACCACGGTAACCAGCTGCATCAGTGTCTGCTCAGATGACTGAGAGGTGACTGTGGTTTTACTAGGACACATCTGCATGTGTCCTTCACGAGTGAGGGAAGGATGGAACGGGAAATTGACAGGTGGATCAGTGCAGCTTCTGCAGTAATGCGGTCAATGTACCGGTCCGTCGTGGTGAAGAAGGAGCTGAGCTGTAAGGCGAAGCTCTCGATTTACTGGTCAATCTACGTTCCGA